AAGCTCCCTCTGGTCCTTCCACCTGGCCTGCTGCGTTGGGGCTCACCTTATTTGTTTATAAAACATATAGACCACCCAAGGTTAACTCTTAGAATCCCTTGGAGCAGGCAGGTGAGGGTTGTGTATCTTGTTGCCGTGCTGCTGGGGCAGAAGCAGCTGATCCTGGCTGGGGAAGCGTCTGCCACCTTTGTTTCTTTTACTTCTGAAGTGGTGCAGACCTTCCAGGCCCCCCCCCCTGCCCGTTACTTCTGGCAGCTGCTTCCCCTGGGCCCTTTCTGCCCGGAAGGGAGCAGGAGGAGCGCAGGCAGCCTTCTCTCTTTCACGCCTTGTTTGTTCTCTTGTAGCACTTACGCACCAGTGAAGCCGTTCCTCCGGGTGGACAAAGAGAGGGTAAGTTAGGTACAGGTTACTTTCAGCATTTGTATATCGCCAGTGGTGTGCTGTATCCCCAGGGTTTTCTCAAAATGAAGGAAATGAAGGAAAACACCACGTGAGAAAACACACAAATAGGGATAGAGCGCCCACTCCACCCCACCGGAAGGAAGCTTGCCCGAGCTGCCCCTCGGGCTGTTCTGCATCCCTTCGGCAGAGAGGGGGAGGAGGAAGGGATAAAGCCAACGGGCGGATTTCCCAATCCTTTCAGGTGCGTTGCTGCCTTTAGCAGAGGATTGGGCTGGATGGCCCCGGGAATGTTTGGTTTTACTTGTCTTAAAGTATTGGGGGGTTGCAGGGTGCCTGGCCCAGGGCTGTGTGCCCTTGCTGCCGCCTTCCCTTCCGTGCCCTGGCCCTGCCTGGATGGGCCAGAGACCCGAGGCGCTCTGATACTTTGGAGGGTATGGGGAGGATCTGAGGGTGGAAAAACCTCCTAAGCCTGGACCTTCTGATTTTATGCTGCAAAGCTTCCCACAACAGGCCTCTGCCCGCCACCTATTTTGGTAGGGTCCTTGAGTCTCACACATTGTGCATCCTGCTTTAATTGCTGGGATGATTTTTACAACTGACGTGTTGGTTTAGTAATGTTATTTTCATCCTGTGTGTAAACCTGTTCTGTAAAAGCAGCATTTGGACTAGTAGATGCCACCAACCCTGTGAATCTCTGCTGGGGCTTCTCCATGATTTGTTGTCACCCAGAGACCTGAAGTTGAGCTGGCTGAGCCAAAAGCCCTGTCTTGATTGTTCCTTTGGTCTCTTGCCTTTAGGTTCAGATCTACAATCCCGCGTTCTTCAAATACATCCATGACCGGTGGACAGAGCACCACGGCCGCTATCCCTCCACTGGCATGCTGGTGCTGTTTTTTGCCCTGCATGTTTGCGATGAGGTCAGTTTGATAGGCCAAGCAAATTGTCCTACCTTGTGGGAGTAACAGCAGCACTCCTGCTGATTAAATGATGTGTATACTTTGATTTTGAACTTCGAAAACAGCGTTTTAGTTATATTTTTTCCTCGGATTTGGGATGTGCAGGAAGAGGGCTGAATTGTAACCTGTTCTCCTCAGAAATGGGAAGAGCAGGCTCTCCCAACTGAGATTGTCTCAGCTTTGGGCTGGTCACTTAACAGTGAAGGATCTGGGTGAAGAGGCAGGAAAGGTGGGATGATGAACCAGGATGGATCACAAAAGCCATGGGAAAGAAGAGTCGGGACAGTTTCTAGAGATGCTCAAGCAGAGGCCAGGCAGCCATTGATCAAGGAGGTGACATTCCCCCAGGTCATCTCTGAGCTCCCTTCGGATGCCATGAAGCTTGAAGTCAGAGTTGTCATTCCTGGATACCCTGTGTGTATGTGTGTTGGCCTGGTGAGTGGGAATCCTTTGGGTGCCAGTCAAAACCAGTTTTGGAGGAAGGCTGAAAATTGGGAGTGCTGGTTAAATTGTCAAGAGGAAGTCAGGAATGGGGCTAGCTTTTGGGTCAGCAGTGGAGGAAATAGTTTTCCTTCAGATTATTGCTCTATGTGATGTCAGACATTTTTCCTTGTTCTGGGTGCCGGTGGAGGAGATTAGAAACCAACGTTCAGCCCAGGGAAGCCAATGAGGGAAAGAATGTCAGTCATTTCTTAATCCCATAAGCTTTGGGCCCGTTTCAGTAGAAAATGTGGGCTGATGCCTAGGTGGTCTGGAGTCTCCCCAGTGAGTGGGTCTTCTTTCCCTCTCCCGGCGACAGGTGAACGTCTTCGGGTTCGGGGCAGACGGCCATGGCAACTGGCACCACTACTGGGAGAACAACCGCTATGCTGGAGAGTTCCGGAAAACCGGCGTGCACGATGCAGACTTTGAGGCCCACATTGTGGACATCCTGGAGAAGACGAACAAGATCAGTGTTTATCGTGGCCACTGAGGTTTCCAACAGCTGCCGGGCAGCCTGGCTGTCGGTGGCTGGGTGAGGAGGGACAGTTTTCCGGCACCAGATGGCAAAGCCGCTCTTTGAAGAGGAAACAAGGAGCTTAGGAAGGGGAGGACACCAAAGCCCAGGAGGTTCTGGGAAGCAGATGCAAGCGGAGAGCAGCTCCTCCTTCCTCAGAACAAAGCAATGAGATGCAGCAGCCCCAGAAGGAGACGAGCAGTGGCCGTTCAGCCGCCTCCTCTTCCTTCTGCCCAAGCCTGACTCTGTGGCCGAGACCCCCTTTTGCCTGCAGCAAACAAGCACCAGGAGGGTCTCCTCCAGACTCTTTTTTAAAATTAAGTTTTTCTTCAGTAAATGGGAGTAGCTTTCTGCCTTTGTCCCAGGAAGTCATTTTTATTTTTTCCTGTACAATTAGGTGCCAGGCTGGATTGCATTTTGTCCCAGACATGTAAACTCATGCAGAAACCTTGGAAGGGAAGCCAGGAAGCGCCTGGAGATTGTGAACGTTGACCTCTAGCTCAAGGCGTGTGGTGTGTTTGCCCCAAGGGCAGATGCTCTTGTTCCTAGAGCCTCCCGAAGTGCTCAGATGCTGCAGGCTGCGACTCAGACTCTTCGTTCCTGTCCGCCCAGACTTCCTTCCTCCCTCTCTCCTGCTCTGTTCATGGCAGGGATGCCAGGAAGGGCTGCCCTTCCGATCTTGAGGGGGGGAGCACTCCAGGGCCTCCAGATTGCAGCCTTTCTCCGGGGGAAGGATGGGGGTTGATGGACGGGTCACATGGAGTCGGAATCCCGAGGCCTTCCAGGTTGTCACTTACAAGCGATTATCATTTTCTAGGCCGCTTTCTGCAAAGGAGCCATTGGAGCTAGCAGCTTTAGGCCTGCCTTCGTCTTGTTAGCCAAGGGGAGGGCCTTCAGGTGGGTGTATTCCTGCCTGCTCTTCACCGAGAGCAAGAGAAGGGGCCCCAGAGGGAGCCTGGCTGCCTTCCCTTGCTCTGGGTGCAAGAAGCGGGAGGCTTCCCAGTTGCTTTGGCGATTAAGGCCTTGTAGACAAAGGGAAAAAGCGAGTTGCCCATAAGTGGTTTTCTTCAAGAGGACAATCCCAGTGGTATCGGTATTGAATCAGTGTTTTGTTTCTTGAAATAATTGAATTCTACGGCATGAAGGAGCTGTGGCAATGGTGGCTTTTTATTACAAGCATAGCTAACAATATTTCCCCAATAAGAAATGGCAGCAATCGGGCATCTATAAGCCAGCCTGCCCTTGGAGGGCCAATAGCTTCTGGCCAACCCCCGGGCAGCTTTCTATGGTCGCCTGGAAGGGGAGGGTTCCCTCCCCAATGGTGCTGGGCCGCCCTTGTGCTTCTGGGACAGCATCCGACCTTATTGCCACCCCTCCCTCCCTGCTTACTGCAGCTGGATTGCAGTTTCCCTTTGGTGTGACCTGCGACTGGCCCTCGGCACCCTCCAGCTTGGGGCCTTGAGCTGCAGATCCTGCAGCCAAGGAGACGGCGGGTTCAAGTGTGCCCAGGATCCCTGGACCTTTTTGCCTTCGCTCAGCCATTGTTTCTCCACAGAAGAGGTTCGGGGAAAGTCAACTGACTCCGAGAGCGGCAGGTCCTCGCCAATGTCATCGGGACTGACCTGGAGTAGCCACTCCTACATCCAGAGTTGCTTTGCTTTGAGTCTACGAACAAGAATTGTGTGGCCTTGAGCTTTTCCCCCTTGATCCCTGCAACTGAGGTACCCGCTGGAAGCTCCCTGGGCTCTGGGGCTCCAGGCCTGGGAGAGGCAGCCTTCTTCCCACATCAGCTGCAATTGCAATGCCTCCAGTTCCCTGGGGTATTTTTCCGGAGGGCTTTCTTAGTGAGCGTATCTTTTTATATGTGGAGCGCTATCAGCAGTTCACTAAGGAAGCCCCTAAGGAATCCCACTGTCCCTGGGTGGCGTGGCCTGGCATGGGCTGGTGGGAGGCTGGCTAATCCCAGGAGCTTCTGCAGCTGGCAGAATGGCTGCCTGGCTCCACTGAGGCTGCCATTCTTGTCAGAGGGAGGGGGAGAACGCTCTGAAGTAGGGCGATCGGATGGTCCAGCCTGGGCATCTTTCTGTCCAGAACAGTCTTTGCCAAACCAGCTGCTGCTTCAGCTCCAGCGGCCGTTGCCTGACTCTTGCAAATCCTACAGGCTTAGGAGGTCCTACAGCCAAAAGGTTTTTTGTTTTTTTGTTTTTGCTTCCTGCCCGAGAAGCTGCCTACGCTTCAAACCAGGGATGCTGCCCCTCCCTCATTTTGTTATTTTGTAATTTCACAGGCTGCAGTTTGGAAGAACTGGATTTGTTTTGTGTTCTGCTACACAAAATAAAAGTTGTACTTTTTCCTTCTGGGGGCTCCTGGTATTTATGCTGCATGTGTCTTGGATCCTTGTTCAGCCGCAGGAGATGCCCAGGAGGCAGCCAAGGCTCAAGTCCAGCTGCTGTCATTGGCTCCAAGCACAGGCCCCAGTCTAACCAGTAAGATGGAACAACTCCCGTCCATAACCTCGATGTGTTTCTATTAATGCTTCCCACGATGGAGTGGCTGGCTGGTGTTGAGCTATCCCACCTGTACGCTTACTTGTTTCTCCTATGCACTGCAAAGCCATTTCACCTATCCTGCAGTTGTGAGTCCCCATGCCTGCTGGGATTCACCACATGAGTGGCGCATCTGGACAAGGCCTCCTCCAGGACCGTCCAAAGCTTACAGCCTTGATGACAGGAACCCTCCTGGCCACGCCTGTCTTGTTGGTAGCCTCTCCGGCTCAAAGCATCTAGTCCACACTTAACAGACCACGGGGAAAGGAGGTTTGGGGCCCTTGCCTTATTTCCTCCTCCAGACTGTTCCCCTACTCATAGGTAGTCCAAGGACATCTTCCCTTTTGGCTCCTCACAAGAGATCCATCCGTACCATTCAGTTTCCAGAAGGGCCACTCTATTCTAGGTCTGCTTCTCTATGGCGAATGGCAGATTGATTTGCTCAGTCAGCAGAGCCACCACCCTAGAAACGGCCCCAGGTACAGCAGGGCAGGGCATTCCGGGACTGGCCTCCTGCTCAGTGGTGGGATTGACAAAGTTTACCAACAGTTTGGTGGGTGTGGCTTGGGCACACTTCGTGTGTGCCTGCGCCCCAAACGTGCACTTTGCACAGGCACAGAGGCATTCCAACTCACCTGCAGCTGCACTCTCCCAGTCGCTTCAGCAGCTGCCGTGTGCCACTCAGCTGTGCTGCACAAAGCAGCTGCACCTCAAAAGCAGGGAACAAAGGTGGGTGTGGGAGCCCTGGCGGGCAGGTGGGCCCAACAGCAGAGTGGCGGAGAGAACCGGTTCGGTCTCTGCCGCTCATTGGCGCTGCAGGCTCAGCAGAACCGGGCCAAACCGGTCCGAATGCCACCACTGCTTCTGCTCCATGGTCTTTTTGAGGTTTCTCATCTAATCCAGCTGCGGATCAAGCAGGAGAGGAAGGGACGCCTTTTGCAGGCCTCACTTTCCCTTCTTCCTCTCCCCTTCAGGGCAGTTCTTCAAGTCTGATCTCACATCTGTTCCAGCTCAGCATGGCCTCTGCCAAAGACCACCATCTTTCCCTTATTGTGGTCCTGCATCTGCTGAGCCTCGGATTTTGTCCACTGCACTTGGAACATGGAGCCCACCGTGTTCGTTCCATCATGGATGGTGGTGATCTCCCTTAACCTGACAAGAGTGGTTTTGTTTAAACTTTTTATTGAATTATATCGAAACACCGGAGCATGTGCATACACAGAGACGCACATAAAAAGCACAAAACCAAGCACCAACAGTAACATTCCCATAATTGTATAGCAGAAGGCACCCATCATTCCCCTGCTTGGGGTAAACCATCAAGTCCAAAGGGCTGTGCTTTAACCTGCTCTGAACTTTTGGAGACTGGATTGAACTTGCAGTTGGGCCAAACGAATAGTTTACAATTTGGTCTACCAAAGCAGAAGAGATTGAAAAAAAAATCCAGTTTGCCTGAAACTATTCCAGTGCATAAAAGAGAAATTACAACCTTTTCTTTTAGGGTTTAAAACTGCTAAATTTGAAAATAAATACTTGCAGTGCTTTCCAGTTTTGTGAAGGATACTGCATTCATTCATTCATTCATTCATTCATTCATTCATTCATTCATTCAATTCATTCTATGGCCGCCCATCTCAAATCAATAAACTACAGTTGTGTTACTTTTGTAGAGTATTTTTATCTGCAAATTTTGAATAGGAATGGAATTGCCAACAAATCATTCACTGAAAACTTGGAGGATTACAGGTCCTTGATAGGTGAAGAAAAATGGCAAATCCAGTCAAAACATCTAACTGAAACCAACATAACAATTCATTATGCGTTACATCCCTGTAACGATATTGATGGAAACCCTGCAGAAATGGAGGCAGAGGTTTACTTCAAGTCAAACTGTTGAAGATGAAAAGGCAGGCAATGGCCAATTCCATAAAAGACAGCCAAGTTTAAAACTGGAACTTGAGGAATGTGCAGGAAACAACCTGAACATTGAAATAATGTAATAATGTAATAAAAACATGAATACAACGGGGGCAAAGAAAAGCATTACACAACATGGTCAATTTCTACAAACAGTGGAGGAGGTGAATGCAACCTGGCATTGATTTACAAATGGAACATTAAAAAGGGAATCTGAAAAGTTGATTTTGACTGCTCAAGAGTAAACTGTTTGAACTAATGCAATCAAAGCAGAACTGAAAATTGTCATTTCAAAGTGCAAATCGTGCAAAGAGGCAGAACAAGTAGGTCCTATATTTAGATTGTGCAAAAAGATTGCACAGATGGAAAAGTGGAAACATGAAAAAGTGAGGTTAAAATATTGTGTGATTTCTGAATATAGACTGATAAAGTCTTGACTCAACACACCAGATTTAACTGGTTGAAAAGAAGAAAGTGGATAATGGATGTGGCTATATGAGGGATAGTAGAATAGGAGAAAAATAATTGGAGAAGATTAGGAAGCATCAAGATCTGAAAATCCAAGTTGAAAGATTGTGGCATACACCGGCCTTGGTGGTCCCAAGAGGCCTCGTAGCGCAGTGGTTAGAATGCAGTACTGCTCACTCCAGGAGTTCGATTCTGACCTGCTCAAGGTTGACTCATCCCATCCTTCCAAGGTTGGTAAAATGAGGACCCTGATTGTTGAGGGCAAGAGGCTGACTCTGTAAACTGCTATAGAAAGGGCTGTAAAGCACTGTGAAGCAGGATAAAAGTCTATTGCTATTACTATTTGCACACTGGGTGTCCTATCAAAAAGTCTTCCAACTGTCACTTGCAAAAGGCCACACTGCGTGTTCTACACACAGATCTTATTTGGTTTTTGGGAAGAACTTGAGGTGTAAGATGTGCCTTCACGTTATTATAAACAGATAATAACAATTTAAGGGAGATGAGTGGCAAGCAAATTTAATAAACAAGCAAGCTTCAATGTGCAGGCTTATCCCATGATCTAGGCATGTTACCTGGAATTTTAGTGTTCATTATTAACTTTTTAAAGGGAGATTTTAAAAAAACCATGTTTTAACATGGCAACTCTGGCCTCTTGTTTAATTTTAGAAAACATGGGGGGGGGGTGTTTCTTCTTGGTATGCAGGAACTTGTCATTTCAGCACTAAACAACAGTGTGTTCTGAAAGTCCCCAAATGCACTTATACTTTTAAAGAAAGATACAAACCCAGCTGGGAAAGAGTAGTGCAACCCCCAAATTTGCCACTTCTGCAATGTTATCTAGAATCCATGTTTTCTGTTGTTTAATTCGCACATGTGATCAGTGCCTTTTATGGTGTCATCAGTTGCTTTCTGACTGAGGCAGGCATCAGGTCTATCATTTATTTCTGTTCCCTGTATAAAAACTCGACCTCCCCCCGAACAGGCGCTTTTTCCTGGGCGACTCCCGTTTTCGGGGGGCAAAGCCGCTCCTGACCGGGGGCTGGAAGGCCTCCCCCTCCCCAAAGTCCCCTCCTCCCCAGGGAGGCAGCCGGGGAGGGGCGGGAGGGGCTCTGGGATCATCGGCCGGTGGCTAAGCGGGGGGGGGGGGGGGGGGGGGGGCGGGGGCCCCCCCCCCCCGCCCCCCCCCCCCCCGGGCAACCGGGGCGGCGGTTGGGCGGCTGGGCCGGCCCGGGGGCGGCGGCGACCCGGCATGGTGAGGGGGCGGCCGGCGGGCAGGCGGGGGCCGAGGCGGGCGAGGTGGGGGCGCCGGCTGACCCCCCGTGGCTCTCCCGCCCGCAGGACCCGGCGGCGGCGGCGGCGGCGAAGGAGGCGGAGGCGTCGTCGGGGGCGCCGTCCGGGGGGCCGGAGGAGCCGCCGGTGCAGCTGAACGTGGGCGGCTGGGCCTTCGCGGTGCCGCGGGGCAAGCTGGCGCAGTTCCCGGAGTCGCTGCTGGGCCAGGCGGCGGCGGGGTCGGCGGGGCAGCGGCTGTTCCTGGACCGCGACGGCTACGCCTTCCGCCACGTCCACTACTTCCTGCACACGGCGCGGCTGTCGGGCGGCAGCGGGCTGGAGCTGCCGCTCCTCTACGAGCAGGCCGGGCTGCTGCGCCTGGCGCCGCTGCTGCAGGTGCCCGGAGGGGGGGGGGAGGAGGAGGAGACCCCGCCGCCCCCTCCCCTCCCCCTCCCCCCTGACGCGCCTCTCCCGCAGAGCCTGGACAACCTGAAGGAGGGCAAGCACAACCTGCGCGTCCGCCCCGCCGACATCCCCATCGCCGAGCGCGCCTCGCTCAACTACTGGCGGACGCGCAAGTGCATCAGCAAGCCCTGCGCTGCCTCCGCCGCCGCCGCCGAGTGCGCGCTCAAGAGCCCCGCCTGCTCCGGTAAGGCGGGGGGTGCCGGGCGGGTCCGCTCCCGCCCCCGCGGGGTCCCCGAGCGCCGCCGCGACGGCCCCCCCCCTCGCTCGCTCCCTCCCTTCCCGCAGGGTCTCCGGAGAAGGCGCCGCTGGGGCTGATGGACACGCCGCTGCTGGACACGGAGGACGAGGTGCCCTACTGCTTCCTGCCGCTGCGCCTGGTGGAGGAGTTCCCGGCGCTGGTCACCGACGACAACCTGCTCTGGCTGGCCGACGCCGCGGCGCTGATCGAGTGCGAGAGCGGCGAGTTCCGCTTCATCGGTAAAGGGGGGGGACCCCGCGGGGGAGGGGGCGCTTGCTGCGGGGCTGAGTCCCCCGAAGGCGCCGAGGGAATTGGGGCGGAGGCCCCGCGCAGGAGCCGGTAAAATCTCGCTTTCCGGCACGGTCGGCCCCCTCGGCTACCTGGCGAGCGCTCAGAGGCGAAGAAAGGAAGGCAGCCCCCTTCCAGCCGGGCCCAAGAACGGCTGAGAAGCCCCCGGTGCCTGCATCGCCCGTTATGGCAGATTCTGGCTGTCTCTCACTCACTGGGGCTCCAAGCTTCCCTGGGAGCCCCCGTCGTCGGTCTGTTCGCTGCAAGGAAGGAAACGGTGAAGCATAAGGAGGAATGGGGGGGGGAACCCTGCAACTTTCCCTGTCTCCCCCCACCTCGTTTGACTAGTTCCTTTCCCCAGAAAACAAAAACTGCCCCACTTTTGACACAGGACACCTGGAGCTGCCATTTCTCAGCCCCTTTCAAGAAATTGCTGCTTGTACAAAACCAGGGGTTGTTGGATCTTTCCCTGTGTCTGTATTGTTTCCACATCCATCTCTTTCTGGCTGGCTGGCTGACTCTGTCCATCTCTTGCTAGGAATCCCCAGTTTTGCTTTCCCCCAAAGTCACTCGAAATATATGTATATAGCATGCAATGTGATGGCAAAAACACCCTGCTAGACCTCCAGGTTGCTTACTTTCTGGTGTGCATTTTTTTTAAACAACTAGCTAATTTTCTTCGCTCAGAGAAGATTCTTTTGCCTGATAACTTCTCCAGCTTGGATGCACTGGAAGCTGAAGCAGAAGCTTTGGGCATTCCCAAGGTCATAGAAGCCGTGAAGATCTTCAGGAATAACCCAGGTGCAGTTCTTACAACATTTTAAGTTCTGTGTTGACTGGTTTCCATGTAAAAGGGATTACTTGGGCTTTCTTTAATTACAGAAAGGGAGTAATAATAGCTTGGTCATATTCATTAGGAAACTGTGCAGAATATAATAAAAAAAATTGAGCTATTTGTTACTAAAATCCAATCTTCTCTTTTTGGAGAAGGTGGTTGAGAAGGTGGTCGCGCAGCAGCTCCAGAGGTTTCTGGATGAAACGGATTATCTCGACCCCTACCAATCAGGATTCAGGCCTGGATTTGGGACAGAAACAGCATTGGTCGCACTTTTGGATGATCTCTGGCGGGAGCGGGATGGGGGTAGTGCATCCATCCTTGCTCTACTTGACCTCTTGGTGGCTTTTGATACCATTGACCATGGGATTCTTCTGGAGCATCTTCGGGGGATGGGAGTGGGAGGCCTTGTGCTGTCCTGGTTCACTTCCTTCCTCTACAGCTGCTCTCAGTCAGTGTTGACAGGAGGTGAGAGATCCAACCCTCGCCCACTGCTTTACGGGGTTCACAGAGCTCGGTACTCTCTCCGCTCCTGTTCAACATTTATATGAAACTGCTGGGTGAGATCATCCGTCACCATGGACTGAGGTATCACCAATATGCTGATGAGACTCAGCTGTATGTCTCGGCCCCGTAGTGAGTTAAGTTTTGCTGTGTCCTCCCTCTCGCAATGCCTGGAGGCTGTTAGGGGCTGGATGGGGAGCAACAGGTTGAAACTAAACCCATGCAAGACCGATTTTTTTCCCCAGATTTTGTTCTATTGTACTTTATTAATTTATTTGATTCTTTTTGTTAGTTTTTATGGTTTGTTTTTGTTTTTTTTTTAAATATGGTTTTACATTCTGTAAGCCATGTTAATGCCAATGTCTCTTTGGGTGTTTTTCTTTAGGCTCATGTTCCAATGAAGCCTCTAAGTCTCAAGGCTGTCAGAGGAGCACGGCGGCACAGCAGCAGAGAGTTCAGGACCCATCAGTCCTCCTCCCTTTGTACCCAATGGTGCTGGGTCTCCTAGTCAAGTACCCTGACTCTGCTCTGGGGCAGCTCCACATGGAGAGCACCCTGGATGGGAATAAGCTCTACATATCAGGGAACGGAGTTCTTTTTCAGCATGTCATGTATGTCCCCTGGACAGTTTGGTTGTTCTTGTTTCTAATTTCTAACATTTGGGATGTGAATGCAAATGCAACCCTCCATTACAGCACAATGGTGTGAAGGATGTGCTCTCCAGGCAGCTCCATGGGATGGTACCAGAATAATTTTTAGTTTAGTTTAGTTTAGTTTAGTTTAGTTTAGTTTATTGTCATTGCACTTCGTACAACAAAATCAAACACCATCTTCAGTGCACATCATGACCATGACCATGAAAATAAACACAAACACACATCCTTCACCCGTCACACATTGAATCGGAAACCCCCAACACCACACCAACACTGCACTATACAGCAGAATTCAAAAGAGCTACTGCCCTGGGAGAGAAGCTGTTTTTCAGCCTATTTGTCCTTGTTTTTATTATCCTGTACTGTCTGCCAGATGGTAATAGTTCAAAAAAAGGGGGTTCTCAGGATGAGATGGATCTTTGAGGATGTTTTGAACTTTCTTAAGGCAGCGGGAGCTCTAAAGCTCTTCCAAAGAGGGGAGTGGGCAACCCATGATCCTCTGAGGGGCAATGACATTAACCCTCTGGAGTGTTTTCCTATCTGCCCCTGTGCAATTGGCAAACCATACAGGGGGTGCAGTATGTTACAATCCTCTCTCTATGGTGCAGCGGGAGAAGGTCACCAGCAGTTTTTCAGTTGTTGTTTTCTGAGAAGTCTCAAGTAGTATAATCTCTTTAACCAGGACTGTAATGTGGGCCCCCCAGGTCAGGTCCTCTTTTAGGGTAACACCCAGAAACTTAAAACTGGCCACTTGCTCCCCTCGGTCTCCATTGATAAGCAAGGGCTGGAGGTCTGATCTGTTCCTTCTATAATCCACTATAAGTTCCTTGGTCTTATTGGTGTTTAGGGCCAAGTTATTGTCTTCACACCACGAAAGCAACTGGTCCACCTCATATCGGTAGGCAGACTCCTCCCCCCCGGAGATAAGTCCCACCACTGTTGTATCATCTGCAAATTTAGCCATAGTATTACTAGCGTGAGTGGGAATGCAGTCATGCACATAAAGAGTATAGAGTAAGGGACTCAACACACAACCCTGTGGTGTACTAGTGCTAAGAATAAGGGCTGGAGAGGTATGATTACCTAATCTGACCCTCTG